ATCTGCTGGGGACCGGCCTCCCTCCTGACGCCTCCCATCCTGAGACAAGGCGCTCACAGATGGGGAAGGGGCAAGGCTGGGGTGGGGGGGGTGGGCAGGAGAGCTGCTGGCCTGGGGGGAAACTGCTCCCTGCTCTTGCCCCATGTCCGTGCTCCCCCAGGGCTGAGCACCCGCAGGGCAGGAGCTGACAGCAGCTCTGGAAGCTGTGCGTGACCCGCTGCAGCCCCAGGGTGGTGCCCTGTGAACACCCCCGACACACAATGAAGCCACAGCCCAGGGCCTGGGGGACACCACCGGGGCGGTGTGCGCTGCAGCTCCAGGTCTACTCCCAGCTGTGTGGCAGAGGCTGCCGCGTACAGAATCCTGTGGTCCCGCCTGGGGCCCTGTGCAGGGGGTGGGGCGGGACAGACTCACCCAGGAGCTTCTGCAGCACCTGGCCGTCGTACAGGTCCTCCTCCAGCTGCTTCACGATGATCCTCTCCTCCACCAGCACGTCATTGATCCAGTCCAGGAGAACCTGCGGGAGAGAGGGCGTTACCGCCTCGCTCCGCCAGCGCGCAAGGATGAGGCAAGGACCAGAGCACACGTGGGCAGGCAGCACGGACCAGCGCCACAGAGGCCGCTGGACGGTGGCCTGGAGAGCCAGGGGCGGGGCGGGAGGGGGAGACGAGCTTCTCTCAGTCTGCGGACGGGGCGGGAGGGGAGGGGCGCAGGCGCGCTGAGCCTTTCCACCCAGCCCGGGCTGCAGGGATGTCCCAGGGAATTCCCAGGGGAGCCCTGGCAGGGGGCGGTCGCTTTGGTGAAACTGAGCCTCTTCCCAGCCGGGAACCTGGCAAGGGGGAAACCACCAGTGAAGGGAGTTCGCCTGTTCGCCTTGCTGTGGGGAAGGGGGTCAAACGTGTAAATGTTGATCGTACTGCCCCCAGGGCCCCTGAGGCAGTAACACCAGGCCACGGAATATCCCCACCAGCCCTGTATCCCCCCAAGCCTTAAGCCGTAGGGAAGGGACCCCGCACGGGCATCACCAAGAAGCTCAGAGCACCTGCTCTCCCCCACTGAGGCAGAACTCACGCCCCACGCAGCCGCCCTTTCTAAGTGTGCGATTCGGTGGCTTTTCGTACATTCACAAAGTTGTGCCACCATCGCCACAACCAATTCTGGAACATTCCGTCACCCCCAAAAGAAACCCTGTGCCCACCAGCAGGCACGTTCCTTCCTTCCCCTCGCCCCTTCCAGCCACTAATCCATTTTCTGTCCCTGCGGATCTACCTTTTCGGGACATTTCCTATAAATGGAATCAAACAACACAGGACCTTTTGCGTCTGGCTTCTGTGACCCGGCACCACGCTGTCAGGTCCATCCGTGTGGCAACGCGTGTGGCGCCTCCTTGCTTCTCACGGCCGAAGCCTATCCCGTCGTGCGGGGATACCACATACTGTTCACCCACGCACCCGCAAAGGTTCGGGTTCCCGCCACGTTCTCGCTCTTACGAACAGTGCTGCCGCGAACGTTCACGTGCAAGTTCGTGCGTGAGCGCAGGTCCGCGGTCTCCCCGCCAGCCTTCCTCTGGAGACTTCTCAACCATCTCCCCACCCGGCTCTCCGGGCGCTGCGCTCTGGAAGCAGTGACGCTGCCACCGCGGGAACGGCTACGGAAGACAGGCTTCCCGCCGAACGATTCCACCTGGCCCATCCCGCGCCGACACATCGACCCCACGGAATGAAACGGAGGCCTGCGCGCACCTGATCAACGACACGGAGTCCCTGATCTTCCCGCGCAAGCGAATCTAACAAAACATCTAATTGGTCCCGGTGACCGCTCAGAAATGGCAGTTTACGGCCGTCTCGGACACGAACAAAAGGGCACGAGTCCAGGATGTACTGTTCTCTGTCGCTCTCTGAATCAGCTGCAACCTGCAGAACTCGCCACACAGCACGTTTCTGCGAGGGATGTTCTATTTTCCCACTAGCTCAAAAATATTAAATCCGACACACAATCCCACAAAGAACAGAAGCAAAAATAAATAAAGGGAAGGTTTGGGGAAGACGGAGGTGCGCAGCCTGTGGTGTCCTGGTTCTGCCGACGCCATCTCCAAAGGGCTGGGAGGGCAGCGCGGGCCACCGTGCCCTGGCTCTGGCTCTCTGGGGACAGAGCTGGCCTGGCATCCTGGCTGCACCTGACTCCCCCTCGGCGCCCAGCGCGCGGCCCCCTCCCCTCCAGGCCCTCTCCCCCCACGGCCCAAAGACCACCACACTGCGGCTTCTCGCCCTCCCCTCTGACCCTGCATCTCCTCTGGGGGATCCTCCTGACCTCCCCCCACCTTCACACGGCATGTTCCTGAGCCCTCGCCCTGGACAACGCCTCCCCTGGCCCCACTCCCTTCTGTGGCCAGCTCACGCCCTCCCACGACTTCCACTGCCGTCCCTAACCCAGAAACTTCTGGACGATCCTTCTGCTCGGGTGTTCTGCAGGGATCTCTAACTGCTCCTTTTCTGGGAAGGAAGCAGGACCACCGTCTGGGGCACTAGCAGAGCAGGAGGCTGGACCCGGAGCCCACGGAGGGCGCAGGAGGCACAGAAACAGGGAACAGTGACCATCTGGGACCCGGCCGCACAGCGAGGCGGAAGACGGGAATCGACTTGCAGAAGTTTTCTCTCCCACTCTGTGCACAGTCTTTTCGCTTCCGTGATAGTATCTTCCGGGGCACGGTTGTCTTCAATTTTGATTGAGTGCAATTTATCTATTTTTTCTTTTGTTGCTTGTGCTTTGAGTGTCATGTCTAAGAAATCATTGCCTAATCCGAGGTCACAAAGACCTACCTCCATGTTTGCTCAGAGTTTTAAAGTTTAGGTCTGCAAATCATACCCTTGTTAAGGGACCTGTGTCTAGAATATATAAAGTATCTTACAACTCAATAGTAAAAAGACAAACAACCCAATTAAAAATGGGCGAAAGATCTGAATAGACATTTTTCCAAAGAAGATATACAAATGGCCAAAAAGCACATGAAAGATGCTCCACCTCACTAATTGTTAGGAAAATGCAGCTCAAAACCACAATGAGAGACCACTTCACACCCACCAGGGTGACTAGAATCAAAAGCATGCACAGTAACGAGTGTTGCCAAGCATGTGAAGAGACCGGAAACCCCTACATTGCTGGTGGGAACGAAAACCGGTGCAGCCACTGAGGAAGACAGCCTGGCAGTCCCTCGGAAGGTCTACCGTAGAGTAACCACGTGATCCAGCAGTTCCACTCCCAGGTTATACCAAAGGGAAGTGAATACACAAGTCCACACAAAAATGTTGTGCACAAATGTTCACAGCAGCAGTGTTCACTATAATAACCAAAAAGGTAGAAACAGCACAAATATCCAGCAATGGATGAGTAGATAAACAAAATGTGGTCTGTCCATACAATGGAACATTGTCCGGCCATAAAAAGGATGCTACTATAAAAACGATGTTTAGCATGAAACACGCTAAAATACGGATGACCCGTGAAAACATATGCTAAGTGAAAGAAGCCGGTCACAAAGGCCACATGGTGTGTGATTCCACTTGTGCAACATACGTAAAACAGGCAAATCCATGGAGACAGAAGACAGACCCGTGCTCGCCAGGGGCTGGGGAGAGGGAAGACAGGGACCGACTTCTGCCGGGGACGGGATTTCCTGTGGGGTGATGAGAATGTTCTTAAAGGGACTGTGGCGATGGCTGAACACCACTGCGCACGTACTGACCGACACTAAAGTGTACGTTGAATCGTATGGCGTGTGAATTATATCTCAATAAAGATGTTATCAAAAAAATTAATCTTTGGGATGCAGGCGCTGGTACAGACCCCACAGGGCGGAGGGAGGATTTGGTGAGCTGAGCCGCTGCCGTCCTCATCCACGACAGAGCTCCGCGCAGACACTGGCATGACGGTCACAGAGGTTTCTGCATCTTGAAGCCCTTTTCTCACTGAATCTACCCAGCAGCATCTACTGCGTGCCAGGTGCCACCCTGAAGGATCGGACCCAGCCTCTGCCCCAGGCAGGATGCTGAAGGTGTCGCAGATGTTGTGCTGGGAAGGGCAGAGGCATGAAGGGTGCCCATGGGAGGACACAGGAGCTGAGCCACCTCGTCATGCCGTGGCCACCAGAAGAGCTGGTCCCCACCGCACACGCCTGCACCTCTCCACTACGTCGCTGACCACTCTGCTGTTTGTTCACAGGCTCCGGCCACGCCGCCCTTCTCGCCGGTCTAGACGTGCCAGGCTGGTGCACGCCGCAGGGTGCTCCTCCAGCTCTCTGCTCAAATGCCACCTCCCGGACCATCCCACCCTAACCAGGGGGGCAGAGGGATGGGGGTGGGGTCTCTGCTTCCCGCATTGGTCATCTTCCAAGCGCTCATGCCATGTGACCACATATTCACTTGTCCCTTGTCACGTCTGTCTTCCCAGCTGGACTGTTAGAGCCATATGGGTGGGCAGCGGGGCCTGTGTGTTGCTCAATGCCACACCCCCGGCGGCTAGAACAGGAACAGACCCTCAGAAGAGACTCAAACAAACTGTAAAACCACCTAGAGACTTTCTAGAAAGGTCTCCTGGGCACGCAAACATTTGGCTCCAGAGGCTGTCTTGCCCAGAGCTTAGTCCTCTTAGAAAACACACACGAGACAATGTTTCTGCTATGAAGAAACCACAAAACAAATCACATCTGGGTCTCTAACCTGGTCCGAGCCCAAACACAGAAATAACAAACAGAAAGGGATTAAAATCACAGTCCATGCGACGAGCCGCAGCCGTCAGCCCTGGGGAGCAAAAGCCATTCACCACTCAGTGTCGCCCTGCCCGGAGGAGGTGCAACTCATTCCTGGGTGCCACAAATCACCCTGCCACTGTACTTCCCAGACCATCCATCTCAGCCCTCTGCTTCACAAAGGACTTCTTAAAGATAGCACCGACGTTATTTTTAGCGACATACTCATTTGTAAACTCGAAATCCCGCAGGCAAATATCTGGGACGTTATTAATTGTTGTCTCAGCACACCGCTCTATCACATACGGCTCCCGAGCTTGCTTTAACCAGAATAAAAAATCACTTTTCCTTTAGTTCCTTCTGAATTATAATCAGGATCTGCAGCTGTCTCCCCCAGAGCTACGACAGTTATGTTTTAATGGCTTCCAAAAAGAGTCACAGCTGGACGCGGCCTTGTTGCAACAGGCGGGGGAGATCCAGGCGGGCGGGGGCCAGAGGGCATCGCAGGGCACCCACATAGCTCCAAGGGCACCGACTGGCACCCAGAGGATCACCGTCCTGCAGCTGCCTCCCCGCCAGAGAGAAAGGGGGGAAGAAAACAGAACTTAAAGACCAGGAGGAGTCTGGGAAACGGGTTGCGGAATCTGCTCTCGGAGAAACGCGCGCCTTGACGCGCTGCCGCCGGACTGCCCTGGACCAACGCGCTTAGGGAGTGGCGTGTGGTTTCTCCTGACACCAAACGCGTTGTTCCCACAGCAGTTCTCTGACCGGCT